GCGATCTCCTTCTATAAGGCTGATTTATCTACCCAGATCAGAAATATATATGGTATGTACAGGCTAAAACAAACTCCCTGGATGATTCAATGTGAATATAATATAAACCAGAGGGAGAAAGTTCACTGTGGTAACTGATGTACATGGAGTACATTATGGATCTCCAAAAAATCTCCAGCCTTTCTTGAAATGTAGGTTCTTCTTAAGCAGTATTTACCTATGTTAGAGCTGTCATACTTTCCATATGAAGACCTAATCTCTGTGATTTATTAACCCTGCAGAGTCCCAAAAGGAGGTGGCCAAACTGAAAATACAGAAAATTAGTTTTTAGAGGCATTATATGTAACTGACTTTAGAAGGAAATTCAGGTAGATTAGCAGAGATTTTAAGCAAACTCTTTTACAAATAACTAGCAAGGAATCTGGAGTTTATGAAGTCATCCAACCAATACCAAGTTTAATATATTTATGTTAGTCTTGTAAACGTAACTCTTTAGGAATAAAGGTATTACAGAATCAAGGTTTGGGAAAGAGGCCTAACTCCTGCTTAATCACTATGAAACATGGAGGGTGAGTTGAAAGAGAAAAGTATAAACAAATTTAAAAAGAGGAAAAACGAGCTATTTGGGGTTTAAAAAATAGGGAAACAAAATCCGAGCCTGGGATTGGATGACTAGCAGGTAGCAGAAGTCGCTCATATTAAATTCTATTTGACCAGCAACTCAATGTGTGCCTTGAAGGAACAAGACAAATAGCACAGCCCACAAACCAAAGGAAGGCCTGCACAGGAAGCGGAAAGGAAGATATAGTGCTATGGACTTCGAGACAGGATGAAGCCAGTCCATGTGAGGTTCAAGAAAACCAAGTAGGCAATACAAGCATCAACATGTTTCCTGTGTCATTAACTCAGGACTACAACCTGATTTCAAACACCATGGAACCACGGATGGAAAAAGCTGTGCAAACTGGGACCATCTTTAAAAACCTCTCTGCCGTTTGCTTGTCAGAGATGATCAGAACCCTCTTGAGCACTTCTCAGGGCACACACTAGATCCCACTGAGGTGAGCAGTTTGGCGGATAGTGTCAGATTTCTCAACAGAATTATAAGTAGCATGAAGTAGCATAAAGAGCTTCCCTAGACAGTGCCAGAGAATTAGGTGCCAAAAGCCTGAGGTGGTTATTAGAAAATGGTTACCACCGCCTCCGATTGTCTGACTATAGTCTCTTCATTGCCAGAAAACAGCCACAGCAGAATCCAGCCAAAGCAATCACTGCTCCCTTAGGAAGCATTCACCGTTCTCCGTGAGCTCTTGCTAACAGGCTTGCTATTTGTAAAGTGGCTAGACAGGACAGTGACAGCAATTGTCAATTAAGGAGAAATTGCCCAGTGGGATTTTAACTTTTAACTGGATTTCAGCCATGCTGTTTCCTTTAGTTACCTCTCGGCTGGGATTCCTTGGCAGCCAAGATCTAATGTACTTCACTTCCATGAGCAGTAAAAAGCAAGAAAAACTGGAAAGGGGTTAGGATGCCCCAGCTCTCTCCCTAATCAGCTACAAGGCCTTTGACCTGGCCCAGTTGCTTCAGGTTCTGTTTTCCTTCCACCATGGAGAAAAGATAATATAAAACCTACCGCACAGGGTTATAGTCATAAGAGAGAACAGATGAGCAACGTGTCATAGAAGTATATTCAGATACACATACTTACGTGTGTGTGTACAACTTTTTAAATGTTTTCCAATCGCATAAAAATGAGGTGTAGATTTGGCAAGTACCTGAGTAAGTTAAGTGATATGAATGATCTGAATATTTTAGAACAGAAGTACCTTTCTTGGTTCTAAGGGAAAGGACAATTGTCTAAATGTTCAGGCCATTTTTTCTTTTCCAAGTTCTTGTGAGAGAATCTACATAAGACCGATGTTTGCTGGGAGGCCAGAGACAAATATTTTGAGGAAAAATAATAGCTAATAATTATTAAATGTTTGCTATGCTGGCCAATCTATGAAGCTCTCTACAAATATTATTTCACTTCCTTTTTACTACAATCCCATGAAGTACGTATTATTTAATAACATTATACATTACGCCTAAGTTTATGAACAAATTTTAGTGTTTGAACTGATATTCAAATTTAGGTCTGTCCGACTTCAAGGCACTTGGTCTTAATTGGAGCCATTTCAACCTATGAAGGAAACCCATGTTCCTCTTTTGCCCCTATTTGAGGCTTTAGCGTTTCACTTTGCTATTTATTAAAAGTTGGCCCATGTGCTCTGGCTGGTCTAAAGGCCAATCCCTGTTGCTCGCTCATGTAAAAGCAAAAGGTTACTGGAGGGTGACATATAGGAAGTGGTGTGAAGGTAGAGCTCTAAAAGGAGAAGACAAAGAAGCTTTATGAGTAAAGGACCTAAAACATTTACACTCATCTCTGAAGCACTGCATTTCTTGGGTAAATGCCACAGAGGTTTGTGTTAAGACAGAACAGTAAAGAGCTTTGCCTATATTCTCTGTCCATTCCATTTAAACTAAAACTATTTTTCAGATGTGGCATGAGCTGTTCAGGAATTTTATTTAATTAGGATTAATGTCTAAAAAGTTATTGTTTCCTCAGATGATTTCTTTGGAATTAGAATCATTCCAAATAGCTATCCCAGTTTTATCCTGGAAAGCAGTACTGACTCAGGAAATGTTTCTAATATGTTTCATCATAATGCTTAAACCCTAGAAGAACCACAGAGAGTATTAGCCTAGTTATTAGAAATTATTTAGAAATACCAACTGAGAAAGGTTTGAACAATAGCATTTTGGAAGTAAAAGTAATAATAGCTGAATAGCTGATATTTGTTGAATCCTTATAAAATGAATAGCATAGTGCTACACCTCTTACACAAATTATTTTATTTGAATCTTTATTTGAATCTCTATGAGGTAAGCACTGTTATGATTCCCATTTTCAAATAAGACAAGGTTTGTCATCAATATTTCTTATTGTCAAAATGGCCACAAAATGACAAAGGAGGGTAGAGTTGAAGCAAGAGTAACAGAACATTCTCACATACCTCTCCTCCAACCTCCCCACTTCTCCAGTGTTCTCTCAAACATCTTATTCCATCACTCAAGGTGGTTCAAAAATCCATTTATCTGTCCTACTCCTTCCCTAACATGGATTGTTGACTCAGTATATTCTATGAATTATCCAGAAAAAAAAAAAGTAAAACTGTAAAAGAGGCAATTAAAGACATTTAACTTAAAAGGACCTGAGAATGAACTATGCCTGCAAGAAAAGGATATATGCAAATTATGAAATTGATTGTGAAATCTAAAAACGCAGTGGAGAACCTTAACTGCCAAACTAACCCCATAAACAGATTCTGTCATGCAATTCGATGGAAATTATTCCACAGGAATTAAGCAAGAGAGGAGAAAGAGAGATTTTGTTGAGAAATGCAGGATCGGAAGGGTTGGGCAATACAATGAGGAGCTCTGGTTGGTGTGTGCCTTTGGCAGCCCCCCTCCCTCTCAGAGCCTGCCCCAGCTGGAAGATTTCATATCAGCATCAACCGTAGAGGCACACGACTTCCCGGAGGAATAGGGTTAGTACAGAAAGACATCTACAGGATGACAGTGACAAGCTAGTTGTTGATGAAATCCCAATTACTTACATCATCTTCAGGATTTCCAACTTAATGTTTTCTCATCCAGTGTTCAACCATAGAAAAGCTGGATCTCAAAATCTCCTTAAAGAGAAAATATTTGGGAGAGAGTTATATATAGTAGGTCCTTGTTTCTATTTTTTTGTTACTAATTGACTATGTTTTGCAATATATTTTCTTTAAAGGAGACAGTGTGAATCATAAAATGACATAAGGGATTTTGTACAATATAGACTTAAGCTATAAGAATCATAAATAATCATTATCGAATACATTTTATAATTTGTAATGAAGTATAATGTTATAAAGTACTCTGCTCATTTCATACTTTTTGCTTAATTAATCCATCATAAGCAGTAAGTTCAGCTGCCCAGTTCCTGGAAGCATAGAGTTGCAACAGTGGTGACTGGATTTCTCCTCAATGCCCAAGTCAAAGTTAAATCTCAGAAATAACTGCTGCTCTTTCACCAGTTCACCAGCATCCAGACTTTCCCTAAAACTTGTGAGGATGAAATACTTCTATCACATATCAGTGGATGCAAAGAGTCAGTGTCACCTTTACACATAGTTGCTGTAACAATATACAAATATGAAACTCTAAGGCTTATGAAAAACTGTTGGGTACAGAAATAAATAAGAAGAAGAGAAGAAAATGGAAGAGAGGGACAAAATGAGATGGAGAGGAGAGGATAGCTTGGGTAGGCAGGAGATGAAAAGACTTATCTATTAGTGTCATGAGTTTATCTGCATTACGTGTATTATATATTTATTATAACTCTGAGAGTAATTTGGATCAACCTCATTTTTCAGATAAATAAATTGGGGCTCAAAGAAGTGAAGTAGACTATGCTACTAAAAACTGTCAACCCCCAGGATTTAGTTCTGGGTCCCTATGATTCAAAAAAAAAAAAAAATTCTTTTCCAATATATCTCATTACTACTCTTCCCAAGAGAACACTCCTTAGATTCGTGCTTTCAATTCTTTAAGTGCAGGTAACATATATCTGGTGGCAAGAAGACAGAAGTCTTTTCATTGATCTCTACAGTTGAGACAGAATGAGGTTTATTCTTCTCATTAAAAGGGAGACTAGATGTAGGAGGAAGAAGAGGCTGATGCTAACACTATGATTTGGCTATGACCCTAACATAGAATGTATTTCCTAATCTCCCTTCCCAGATCCCTTTATTACCTTGAACAGTGTGTGGAGTGGAGAAACACATTGAATATGGTATATATACCTCTACCCAATGAATAGAATGTAATAGTTCCTTTTAATTTTAGCATAGATGCCTAGTTTAAACCTATGTACCAGATCCTCCTGCTTTTTTCCTTTCTTGAAGCATCTATATACAGACTCAAGTCTCCATGACAACCTTAGTAGTTCTTTGAGGGGGCAGGTAGACAGTCCAGTGGTTAAGTACATGGGTTTTGTACTAATCTGGATTCAAATTCAGCCTCCATCATTGATGTGGCCATGGAAAGGCAAATTATTGTACTTCTCTGATCTCTCTGTGGTTTCTCAATCTCCAAAATGGTGATAATAATATCTCATAGAGTTGCTATAAAGAATTTTAAATGATATGCATAAAGTTCTTAGGATGGTATCTAAGACATAATGAGAGGCATTACATTTTTCTTGAATAATTGCTCTGGTCTAGCTCAATAAACTGTCAAGTAGACAAAGCTTTAAGGTCTAGAGAATCATTCTGATGGCTTCCATTTGCTATAGGGAAATGTATCTGGAGGAAAAGAAGCTGCTCAAAAAGCTGAGAGCTTTCTCAAGAGACCTGAGCTTTTCAGATTGTCCCAAAATTTTTTCCTATGTTCTAAGTCCAGTACAAACAAAGTTGCAGCCTATTTAATAATTATCTGATGAATTTATTTTAGGTCCAATTTGTCTTACTGCAGTGTAGTATTGTATTATTGTATGTATATATAAAATATTGTTTAATGAATGTGCATGGTGATTTATAAGGATTTTTAACAGCTTAGACCACAATTTTGAGCAATTTACATCATGGTAGAATTTTGTAGTGTTCTATCTTCACTTTTATAGCATATTGCCGAGTCTATATGGTTTAGTTAACACAGAGATTGGTGAAAAATACAACCTCCAAGGCTAACTGCAGACTTCAAATGATCTACTGTCTGACCTGCATTGTGGCAAAGAGCAGGAACAGCCTATGTATTTTACTACTTCCTCCATCAAAACCACAACCACCACCAGCAGCCAACGTATTATTGCTCTGCCAACCTAGTCCATTTCTTAAGAATTAACAGCTGGGAAAAAGAAATGATTAACTTAACGAAGTTGTTATTTGTACATTTGCTGGGACAGAACTGTGAATTACTATAAATACCTGTGTCAGAAAGCAAGCTAAAGAGGTTATAGTGGTGACTCTGGGTAAAACTACCAGAGGATTCAAATCCTACTTCCACCACTAATGAGCAACATGTAGCTGAATGAATTAACCTCTCTAAGCCTCAATTTCTACACCTACGAAATCTAAACAGACTCAAAACAGTGACTATTTCATTAAATTAGATCAGATATTTTGATTAGGTAGCGTTGTGTCCAATATATAATAAATACTCAACATCAAGTACCCTATGCTAGAACACAATTCATTTTCACCTTATAGTTCTACTCGTTTCCTTTTCCCCTTTTTAAAAAATCTATGTATTTTTCCTTTTCATTCTTAATCCTACTATATTATTTGTGTTCATAAAACCTCCTCAAGTCTTTTGTAGAGGGAGATTTGGTATTAAGAAAAAGCCACACACAATAAATAAATAATATTTTCCCATTTCTTTCGTCAAAGAAAAAATTTCTAGCATGAGCATTGATCTTGTAAAATAAATATGTGGTAGAAGATCATTTTGGTACTTTCTAACTTAAATACAAAACAGTGTTCTCAGGAGAGGATCAGAGGGTTAGGTGAGGACCCTAATGAAACTTACTCGGATACCATTTCCCTTGGAACTTCTTTTCTCAGCCAAGATGAAAATTGCAGTTTAAATATTTCCACTCTAACTGATTCATTTGGCAGGAAAAAAAGTCTAGATGCCAAGAGGTAGGAGAAACTTATCTTATTCCATCAAGTTATAAAAAAAAAAAAAATCCCAAAGATTAAAAAGGAGGGTGCATTGACCTTCACATGTAAAATCAGGGCCCTGGAAATACAACACTTTTTAAACTCCACTTTACACCAAAGAATGTTAAGAACCAAACTGTTTTTTTTACAGAATTACTGTGCTGTAATTCGGTTATCTACAGGATAGTAACAACAACAACAACAAAAACATGTCAACTTACACAAGAAGGCCAAGGGTAAAACTTCCAAAACATTCATATTTTCAGGTACTAACAAACACATAAAGTACCAAAGCTATACTTTAATTAGACTACTGTGAAAAATATTCAGCATATGGTTACACAAGTAAAATATGCCCAAACTCATCAAATTGTATTTATTAATTATGTACATTTTTATATACCACTTATATTTCAATCAAGCTAGGGAAAAAATAATTCGAGTAACTTTTTGATAATTTAATTATATGAAACAAATAGCATATTTTAATCTTTTTCTAAGCATCTTATACTCTAGATAATTTGTTCCATAATAATTGTTAAAGATAAATTTATTATTTCTTATAGTTCCTAACATTTTAATATCCAATGAAAATATATAATGACATAGTCCATACATCTTTAGATTTTTCATCATTCTGGTTTTGACAGTTCTGAAATATATTGTCTATGCACAGAATACATAAACATGACAATGTACAGCATACTGTTCCAGCTATGTAAATCTCTACTTCACCAAAGTATCTGTCAAATACACCGTCTTAAGTACTTTTATAGGAAGACAGATAATGGATTAAGGTTTAAGTATCTAGAAAGTTCATTTCAAAGAAGAATTAAAAGATAGGTTTATGAGGTATATCATACCATTTAGGCAGCCAAAAAATGATTATTCGGCCCCAACTAAGTACGAAGCATTCTGCTAAAAATGCAAGGTGAGAAACAAAGACTGAATGGTTTGTACTTGGAGTTCACAATATGTTGAAAGCAAAATTCAGGTAGGTAAATAAAAACAACTGTGTATCATAAATTTTATGATGGACACACCAGCTATGAAAACACAGGAAAATTTTTTCTAATTATAGCTGGGTTTAACATTTTTCCTCTGTAAAGTGAAAGAGTTGTCTTGGTCCCTTAGGTCTCTTCTAAATCTAATAGTTTGTGATAATATTTTTATTAAAAACTTTATCTCATTATTGTTTTTAGCAGAGAACTAGAAGATTTTTGCCTTTAATAAGCTAGGTACCAGAGAATGCAAAGGCTTTTGAACAAATGCCTTGGTTCGGTAGGACAAAGATAGGCTCACAGATTAGCAACCGAGGAAGCAGAAAATCATAGATTTAAAAAAAAAAATGAGTTTTAATCTGACTTCTTCGGCTCAATCCGGCATCCCTAGAATGGGTATAATGGGTATAATCCTTTTTTTAGGATTATCATTTTGTTTGACTAACAGCAAATATATATGATTAAAGGTTTTTTAATCTGTCGCCATCACACTCAAATTTTTATAAAATAATCAGGTGTGAAATCTCAGCTAACTAAAGAGAAGACTAGTTATTAAAACATTATAACGTGTTACTCACAGGTACCCTAGGCAAAATAAAGTTTCACTTTCACTCTTTCTTCTTTCCTGCCTTTTTGTCTCACAGTAGTGAGACAAAATATAACATTTACTGTGAATATTGAAAAGCTTTAAACTGTAATTAATACCTTATTTTATTGAAGAACAATAATTTCTTACTATAGAGAAAAACTATGAGTAGGAGACAATCTTTACCAGTATTTAAAATTCATGGATTTAAAAAGAAACTCTCAAATTACCAATGTATGTGGGGAAATTTTTAGCCAATTACCCTTCAACAACACTGGAAAAATCCAAACACATAGAAGCATTCAATAAATTTCTGTTGGATAATCAATGTTGATATTATACCCACAAATAACCTAAAGCTTCATAAACATATAAAGTATAGATGTGATAGTCCCTTACAA